AAAATTTACACACAAATAAATAAATTATAAGCAATGGAGTTTTTATGTGAAAAATCCTGGAATGGAAATATGATGTGAGGCTAGGCATAGTTGAAATAAAGCATTATATAAGTATAATTATACAAGTCAATCCTTCTCCTCAATTGAACAATATGAGATTATATTGATTGGATTATTAGCTTGAACTCAATGTTAATATGATAGAATATAATAGATAATATTGAGAAATATTTTTGAGAATGATAGCATCGAGCAGGCGATTAAGGTCTATTGATTGAAGTTAATATATATTCTACGAATTAATGATGGTGGTCATGAGCGTGTGACGGTGGTCGAATGATAATTAGAATAACGTCAATCAATGGGTAGAATTCTTTATAATTCCTCAAGTTTAATTCCAAGCCTCAATCCCCCTTTCGATCACGAATGAGATTATATTTATATGTTTGGGAGTGATATGTTTGTTTTAACTAAAACCATTAAACACTCAGTTAGATGATCTCTCCTTATTATAAATTATTTTCATTAGGCATTCAAGGGCCTTAATAAAATTAGACTATAACATAATAATTACTTACAATAGTAATCGAATGAACTCTCATTGTAACTTTTGTTACTGTTTTATTCAAAGTTTATAAATTTTATAATGGAAAATTAGGTACAATTGTTTTGTTTAAGTTTATATCTCTCTTCTTCCAATATTTGTGATTGTTGTCTCATTCTTTCATGTATAAATACCACATATGATGGAGATTTGGGCTTTTTTTAAAAAGAGGTTGTTTGCCTTTCTTTAGATTAATTGAATTTGAGCTGTTCAAAATTCTCAATCCCTATGATGGAATTCTAATTTTTATCTTAAAAGTTGGTTGATTGACTTCATTTTTAATATATTGCATATAAGATGAGAGAATTTTTTATTTTATTTTGAAGCTCTAATATTACTGGAGTTTTTATGCGAAAAATTCTGGAATGGAAAATATGGTGGGGCTAGTCATAGTTGAAATAATGCATTATATAAGTATAATTATACAAGTCAATCATTCTCCTCAATTGAACAATATGAGATTATATTGAATGGATTATTAGCTTGACCTCAATGTGAATATGATAGAACATAATAGATAATATTGAGAAATATTTTTGAGGATGATATCATCGAGCAGGCGATTAAGGTCCATTGATCGAAGTTAATATATATTCTACGAATAAATGATGGTGGTCATGAGCGTGTGACGGTGGTCGAATGATAATTAGAATAACGTCAATCAATGGGTAGAATTCTTTATAATTCCTCAAGTTTAATTCCAAGCCTCAATCCCCCTTTCGATCACGAATGAGATTATATTTATATGTTTGGGAGTGATATGTTTGTTTTAACTAAAACCATTAAACACTCAGTTAGATGATCTCTCCTTATTATAAATTATTTTCATTAGGCATTCAAGGGCCTTAATAAAATTAGACTATAACATAATAATTACTTACAATAGTAATCGAATGAACTCTCATTGTAACTTTTGTTACTGTTTTATTCAAAGTTTATAAATTTTATAATGGAAAATTAGGTACAATTGTTTTGTTTAAGTTTATATCTCTCTTCTTCCAATATTTGTGATTGTTGTCTCATTCTTTCATGTATAAATACCACATATGATGGAGATTTGGGCTTTTTTAAAAAAGAGGTTGTTTGCCTTTGTTTAGATTATTTGAATTTGAGCTGTTCAAAACTCTCAATCCCTATGATGGAATTCTATTTTTTATCTAAAAGGTTGGTTGATTGCCTTCATTTTTAATATATTGCATATAAGATAAGAGAATTTTTTATTTTATTTTGAAGCTCTAATATTTTCTTATATGGATATTAATTTTCCTCAAAATTTAATGTATCTCCCATGAGAGTTAATATCTGATTTGAAGGCATGTCTAGATGCCCACAATATATGGGAGACCCTAAGAAAGTCAAAGATGTCTTCAATATTGCAATTTCTCTATTTTGAGCTTTTTTTTTTTATAAACTTCTTTTTTAACTCTTTTTACCTTTTTCTTATGATATGTTTCGTGAACAATCATGTATTTATGTGCTTCTCTAGGATATTTTTGTTCCATAATTTTATCATTTTGATTTTGAGAGAATTTTTATATTTGAGCATCTTAAAAATAAATTGAAATATTTTTTTTTCTTTTATGGATTTTAGTGAACAAATTTGATGCGTCATCAGCAAAATTTTATCATCAAGCATGAATCTCGATGCATTTTTTGAATAATAAGTATTCCAAGTTCAGCCAATGTCATCCATGGCTTCGATTTCAATAAGTTTATAGTCAAACTAACTGCTTTAATAAAACGAATTCAATGAAACCAAAACTAGTTCAATCCGAGTCCAAGCAAGCCCATATATATATCAACCCCTTAAAACACATTTGGAAGTGTTGGTTCGTTAATTGAATGGCAAATGAAGTCTAAATTTTTGACATATTTATAATCAGATCGAGCATCTTAACAAAAGGAATTCAACGAGTCTAATAACACTCAATTTTAAGATCATTAAGGACATTAAATCCTTCTAAAATCTCTATAATCAATGAGATCCATATAAACCACCCAATCAATTGGTTAGAAAAGTGATTCACCAAAACTCAAAATATTCCTCCCCAAGAACATATAATAAAACCTCACTCTTCACTTGAGGAGGTGGAGGAAGAAGAGGAATTCAGGGTACGTTCTGGAGAGAATACCCGACGATAACTACTAACATGTAGAACCCTCGACCATCATTAACGATCGCCGGTTATCATAGCTTGTTGCTGCCAATCATCAGCAGTCGACAGCCCCAATTTACAACCCTTGCATTCCAAATACGACTATTATGTTTGACACATATATTGAAGACTCAGTAAAAATCATCGACCTCCATAGACATTGGCCACCATCGACCACTCATGCCAACTATCACCGCTTGCTGCCATCGAACACCACTCGTCGATGACCCCTACTTGCAACTGGTGTAGTCCAACTACGTCATTTGTGACCAACTACTGCCTTTGCAGCAACCAACTATGACTTTTTTTTTTGCCAACTACTACTATTATTGCAGTTTCCATTTACACCATTTTGCGCCCAACTGTGGCTATTGCAGTCACCAACTACAATTATTGTTATCAATTACTAATACTACAAGCAAAGTGCCGCTATTATAACTACTAAATATGACCTTTATGTCTAACTACTACTATTACCACCAGCCTACAACTCAAGTATAATATGTTATGTCCGTTTTTAGATCTTTGAAATTGGAATGTCAAGATGAAGTTTTAGGTAAATTGTGTTCATGCAGCCTTTTAATTTTTCTTACAAGCAAAATTCTTTACCTTTTGTGGCTTTTAAGTTTTGAGGTTTTCTAGCGTATGAAAGCTTGCTTTTTGTAAAGCTTATTTCATTTAAGATTTTTAAATGAATGTAGATATATATTTCCTACTGGCTTAATGAAGTATATATGATTTTTAAATGAGCCAAACATATGTCCTTCGAAATTCTTAGATCCTGAGAGTTCTTGTATTTTGTTGAGCTTATATGTATCTTCTAAACTTTTTAGATTAGTACTTTATCAGCCGTATACTTCTACGGTTCTTCAATAATTAAAAATAATGTATCTTTCAAGCCCCATGAACTTTGATGGAACTATAATAATACTATATAAAACTTGTCTAAAAAATATTTTATACATGATTTTCATCTTTTTTTAGTAATAATTTTTGAAATAATCAATGTTGCATGTTTTTGCTTAATGTAGGTGTCCAAAATTTATTTTGTGTAATGGTCATAGTGTCTTCAGTCATGGAGTGTCAGAGCATTGCTCGATGGGCTATTAATTAGATATTAAACCAAGTAGAATCAAGTATATCATGGATTGGATTTGACTTGGTCATATTATTGGTTATTCATATTTGACTCGAGTTCAAACTAGGCATTCACATGTATCATATTCATCTTTGACTTGTTTTATTTTTTTTAAACAGGCAGACCTGTCTTCTAATTACTCCGTCCATATTAATCGAACATGAATGTAATTTTCCATGTAAAAAACTTAACAAATAATATTGCAATTTTAAACAAAAAAGTCATTGAATAATTGTGTCAGACTATTTTACGCCTATTAAATAAGGTAATAAATCCACAAATTTTTTTTTTTTCAATCAAATAATATAAATAAGCATCAATAAATCAATTCATCTAACTTTAAAATACGAAGGAATTGTATTAAATTTATATGCATGTTCACTATTGGCAAATAAATTATTTTAAGAGAAAAAAAAAGCTAGAAAAATCATGAAAACTTACAAAGATAATATGGAACAAGCTACAACAATTTCTCAGAGTGGTATGTGATGAACCATGATGGATTTCATAATGTGGATAATGTTGTATTAATTAATAATCAGATTAATTAAGAGATTAAAACTAAATATATTAATTAATAATTGTTTATAAAATATCATTAATATGAAATGATAATATATTACTATTAAATATATAATTAAATCAATTTATAATCCACTATATAAATAAGATCCTAAAAATTAGTTATCCTTAATTGGAGAATATATGATTATAAAGCATGAATTAGTCGTTTAATTACTTATGAATACAATGATGAATACTTGAGAAATAGTTTAGAATGAAAAAGACCATGTGGAGATGAAATTCAATAATCAAATATTAATGTTGTTAGCAAGCAATGATCATTAAGAGAGGTGATGATGATTATATTATAATAATCATCAGTATTAATTATCAAATAATTCTCTCTCTAACTTATGATTCATGTCTAGCTTGAAATTGAAATCAAACCTCTTTTCATGTGAAAATTGTGAGGTCATTTTATAATTTTGGGAGCCACATTTTGGTTTTTTAACCAAAATGTACAAACACTTATTCATATGATATATGATGATCTTGTTGATCATATACTATTATTTAAACATTTAAATAAATAAAATAAAAATCAAGTATATTTGGAGAAAATATTACTTCCGTACACCGAACGTAAATTTGCATCTGGAGTCAGGTGAGAACTTATCATGTGATAATTGATAAGTGAACCTCACTGTAATACACTGATTGGTTTGGTTTTTTAGAGAGATGAGGTCCACTTTACACGTGGCACACTCCCACTGTACTTACGCAAATTTTGCTTACTTTTCCTTGTTGGATTTTTACTAATTGAGACACTCATTTGAATGATAATAGCAAGGTTTTTAGGGTTTATTAAATCAAGCTATATTAATCCGACGGCGGGTGATTAGTGCTGACTTTTTGCCGGCTGCTAACGTAGATGCGCAATTTTCGTATGCCAATGCTAAAACCCTAACCTTTCGGTAAACGCATGCGTCTATAATCGATAAAGGATGCAGCCATTCATGTCCCCTTGACAGTTTTTTGTAGGTAAACCACCCCTTCTCATCTGTTGAGCTTTTTGAGTACTGCGAGGGCAACCATCGCAACGAGAAAGGGGCCTTCTTGGTCAACAGAGCTCGCCCTAGACCAGCGGTCTCTGGGAGAAGAGCCGCAATTGTTCTCTCCCGAGCAATCATCTCCTGGATTGATGGTTAGGTGATTGAAGAATTCTATTGAAATTTTGTAATTTTAGTTTTCCCTTATCTATTTTCCGACTTTTTTATGATTTTTGTAAGGTATAAGAGATGGTAAATTTTAATTTTGAATTTTATTCGGTAATTTATTCTGAATGAAGCTTAAAATTATGTTTGCTTGACTTTATTATGATTTTTATACACGATATGGTAAATTTTAATTTTGAATTTTATTCGGCAATTTATTCTGAATGAAGCTTAAAATTATGTTTGCTAAGGGTCCAAGATTGTAGTTTTATCACTTATCTACCCTCACATTAATTGTATACATTGGATATTTTCTAGCTGACTCAAAGAACATTTAGTAGTTTAGTTGTGATTGATTCGATTCCTTAAGAATTCTTGGCCAACTAAAAAGACCATAATTGGTCTGTTTTTAGTCAAACCCGCTGGACTGTGCAATTTTGAGTATGATTTTAGTCTGGCTAAGCTTTAATATTTTGAATTTAAGTCAAACTCGGCTGATTGAGCTGTAATTCGGTGTCTAATTGAAAATATATTGAAAGGCTAATGAGATTTAATATAGATAATCTTCCCACTATTCATTATGCTTGCTTACCATTCCAACAAAAATCCAAGTCTCACAAGCATTAATGCATGACATTGAATGCATCAAGGATTACCGAAAGGCTTATCATAATTTATTACACCATGCCAATGCATTCCTATATATATGCCTTCAAGAGGTAGAGAATCATTCTAAGTGAACTTGACTATCCTTTTCCTCATTCCATAGTACTAGGAACAACGCTAAAAGATTATCCTATTTATATTGCAGAGCCTTTACATTCCTAACCAATTCAATTTTGTTATGAAAGTGATGCTCTGTTTACATCTTAGAGCCATTATATATCTTAAAAGAAAAAAAATGATACACCTACTACTAGAAACACTTTAATGAAAAAAAATCTTAAAGTTTTGCTAAAACTTGATCTCAATTTGAGCTGAGTATCGCTATATTCCATATTGTAGGTTTCTTTTTTAATCTAAATTGAGATCTTTCACATCTTTGTTTTTCTTAGACAATCAAATATTTTATAACCATTAACTATTAAAAAACTAAAAAAGTATTGTTTAATGCCATGAAGAAACTTCTTACAACCCCGAGATGGTGATAAAGCTATACTATTATAAAATGTTAGGACTTCTAAAGAATTGTAAGAGTAAGCTAATCTTTATTATGGTTGATATTACTTTTTATTTTCAAAAGCATATAGCTTTTAGATGCGGGTAAAAATTCACCCCCTAGCTCATTTAAATGCATTGTGAAATAGACAACTTTAATGAATTCACGCTTCAATTCTTTCTTGGTTAGGGGACAATTTATGCCTTAATTTTTTTTTTCTTATTAAAAAATGAGTTATTAATTGAAATATTACTTAGAATCATTTTATTTGATTGGAATTATAAGGACTCGGAGATCTTTTTTTTATAAGTTGCTTTAATATTCTCCGAACTTGCCAACATTTTATTTTTGTTCAACAAACATAAATGTGTCTATTTCTCGTCTATATTCATAGATTTTAATAAGCTTTTGGGATTTCCTTGGGTGAATCATGGAACCTATTTATGTGTGAAGTTTTTCTAGTGTTAGGAATATTTATATGCTTGTTTGAGTATTTATTGCAGTCCTAAGTTGTTTAGTTGAAAAAGGTCGTTTAGTGATGTGGTGCCTCCACAGATTATATCGAAGAGGCTTATCTTTACTTTGTTATTCTTAATGTTATCATTCGAAAGATTGATAGATTAGAAAAGGTTATCTCTATTAAGTACTTGATTATGCAATATTTCTTTGTATTTTTTTAATTAAGGATATATCGCAACGCTTTTCAACTTAATTTGGACATTTTTACTTGACAGGCAATACTGGTGGTGATTTGTACCTGAGCAAATTGCATGATGAATAAACTATCAGATAACTCTTCTACTCATTGTTCTCTGACCATGGAGCTTTCCACTGGCGCAAGCAACAACAGGCCAACAAATGTATACATATGGGATATGGATGAGACATTAATATTGTTGAAGTCGTTGTTGGATGGGACATATGTCCAGGCCTTTGGTGGTTTAAAAGACTCTAGAAAAGGGATTGAAATCGGAAAACTTTGGGAAACACAAATTCTTCAAATCTGTGATGACCATTTCTTCTATGAACAAGTATGAAGTTTACAATTATATACACATTTTTTTCTCCACTTTTTTTCCTTTTTGCTTCATGCCTTTAGATGCTGGACTCGTGATTTTTTTTAGACCTACTCTAACAAATTTACTAGTTCTACAATACACATTGATGACTTGTTTTTGTGCCTTGATTGTTCGATACATGATGATTGATTTAAACCAACTAAAGTCAGTTTGAGACAAATTTTTGTCTGTTTTGTGTTTCAGACCTCCATCAGGGTTTTGTTTGTGGAACTGCTTTCTCGAAATTTTTATGGTGGGAAGCTGATTTCCTTAACCTAATCTATTAAATTGTCGTGGCTATAAGAAAGTTGTTGGCTGATTTTTTTTAATATATAGCTATAATTCTCATCTTAACTTTTAAAATGATATTTTCTTCACCATAGCTTTACAACCAGTTTTTTGAAAAACTACAACCACCCTAAACTTACCTTAAGATAAACTTTACTTTTAAAGTCGCTTTATTAATGGTTTTATTCATCTAATGGTATTTTTGGCTCGAAGAGTTAGCATCCCTTCCTGTATTTTTGCCATCCATTAAGCTTTTAGTATTTATGGGTTGAAAAGTCTTTATCTCCATAAGATTTGTACCCTTAGGGACTATTAGTTTTGGTGTGTTTGGGATACAATATATATTAAATGCATGCAATAGGACAAATACTAATTGTGTTGCATTTACTTGAGAGATGAGAAAGAAATTAAATTATGAAGTAATGAGATTTTGTCTTAACGCACAACCACAAACCATATATACTTGACACCATCTTTTACTCAACTAAGAAAATTATCTCAGGCATGATCAATTGTGTTCGATTTGCATTAGAGGAAATGACTAAAATGATTTCCTACTACGTCTGAGGGGCTATTTTAATCATAAATTATTTAAAATGTCCAATTTACTTCCCAAACTCTTTAAATGGGAATCAAAGTTATTATGCAATTTAAACCAATGAAAGTTGAAGTTAATGATGCTGAAAAATATGGGTATTATAGGAAGTTGTATTTTCCTTTTATCTTTTTAGTAAATCTATTTTTTGACGAACCTTGTTTTTCTCATTTACAATTGTAAATCCATATACAATAAGAGTGAATTGAGACCGTAGAGGTTACAATTGACTTGATCTTTGTAATAAATAACTTTTTTGAGATATTTGTTACTTCAATTTTATTGTAAGTATTTTGTTACAGTCGAATCAATTTAAAAAATATCAAACACAAATATAAATTACAACACGCTTGCAATTTACATGATCTCAATCTATTTTGCTATTTGCAAAGTTAGCTACTATATACAATAAAATAAGGTAAATAGGAAATTAAAATTTCTAATAAATTCAGGAAGAAAAAATATTTTTCTAAATTACGCTCATTTTTATTAACATTAATTTTAATTTTCATTATTTTGGATGACAAGATTATTTGGGTTTCATTGGGAGATTAAATCTTGTCTTTTGTATAGTCTGCGAGACTAAATTGACTGCTCACAAATATTTAGGGGACTATTTTGGTCCTTTTCTCATTTGGATTTTTGGAGAGGGCTCGACTTTATTGTATTCCTACAGTTTCATATGAATAACAATGATATCTATGTAGATATTTACAAAAATAGAGCTGTGGGAATGATCGGAATTAAAAAGCCGCCTATGATTTCACTCTACAAGGTCCTATAACTTGATTGACAAATATCCCAACCCTTCATTTTCCTTGCTATTTAAAATTCTTGCAAAATTTTTATATAACTAATCACAATCCAGCTGAGGAAATTTGGTTACATGTAATATGTTTATGTTTCTGCCTTATTTTAACTGTTTCGAATTCTCTTAAAAAATTCAATTATTAGATAATATTGCAATCCCGCTGCAAAATTGAATACATCTTTAATCATGGAAATTTTGTTAAATTCAATGACATAAGGAAAATAAAAATCATATCCATTTGATAGGGAAAAACAGAACAACTCACCTCACCACAGAAATGATAAGGAGAGCGAATGTCGCTAACCCCAAGAAATGATAAGCACAAAGCAAATTTACTATTAACTATTGACATTTGCAAATTGAAGTTCACTCAAATCCATTAAAACAGAAGCATTAAAAGCTTGATTTTTTGGTAAAATTAACCAACCTTTACCAACTCAAGAAAAAAGTTGATTAAAAAAGTTGTAAAATTCCTATACATGTATGATTTGAATCAAATTAAAACCATACTATCAGGTAATCTTATTCATGCGAGTTATCCTTTGTTTTGTAAACTAGCTAATTGTTAGCTTATCAGTAACAATTTAATAAAACAAATGCTCATTATACAAATTACATTAAATTCGAAGTTATTATCTTGAATATGGTTTTACAATAATATATTCCTTCAGTCAAGATTTTATTAAATTAATACTGTTTTTTAATTAACCAAATTAAACTCATGCTTTTATATAATCAATTCAATTTATCTTTCAGTTGAGATCATAATTTCTCAATCAGGAAGAAATAAAAAACTAATTTAATTAGTCCCGCCTTACCTGTTCTTAAAAACAGTCTGTCTACTGCTCTTTTCAGGTTTGTTTATTATATCAGCTATTCCACCTAATTATGGGTATAAATTAAGTCTACGAATAGCTAATTTTTGACATTTTTAAGTTTGACTTCTCTCAAATTCATAGAAACAATAAAAATTGAATATCATTTGTTGTGAAAAATTAGCTAACATTTAATTAGTTGCCATCATCAATTTAATAAAATAAAATTGCATTATAAAATATGCATCAAATTAACTTTTTAACTAATATTTAATTCTTCTTATCTTGAATATTTTTTTCTATAACATATTTCTTAAATAAGGAAGTTATAGAACTGGTATATATGTGTGATTGAACTAAATTAACCATAAGCTTATTCAGTTTATATTCGAGTCGAAACTGTAATTTCTCTTAATAGAAGAGTTTTGTTGATATAAATCAAGTTTACTTATCCCTCAAAATATTAATCACTGGTTTCTTATGTAGTAATATCTGTCCCATATTCTTTAAAATAAATTTATATCGATTGTATGTTACATGTATTTTGAGTATGTGTCTTTTCACTAGTAATTGTAATAATGTTATTGATATTGGTAATTATGTAATATCTATATAACTTTTGCCAACTGACATTCTCAGACATGTTTGGCAGATTGAAGACTACAATGAACCTTTTCTGCTTGCTTTGAATGAATTTGATGATGGGAAAGACCTTTCTGACTATGACTTCAATAATGATGGCTTAAGCTTTCCTTGTGATGACTCCAACAGAAGGAAACTTGCATATAGGCACCGTGCTATAGCGGACAAATATACAAAGGTGCTGATAGTAGATACCTATGACCCTGTGGGGTTTTGGTTTCGTAAGTTAAATGCTTCTTTCTATTGTGTGTATTGATTATAATGGCCGCTTGATCTGTTGTTGTTATTCAGTTTTTACATAGTTGTGTTAAAAATTTCTGCATTTGTTTTAATTATTTTTTATTTTTCAGTCTTTTTGCTGTTAATTATGTGTTCCCCATATGATGCATTAGAGCATATCTTTAATCAAATATTGTCAAATGTATTGGCAACCAATCAACGGTTGTCGTGATGAGATTACTTTCCGACCAATTTCTAATTTTTTTGTTAATGAGGCTTACTTGCAATTTTCTTCCTGCACATGATCTAAGCCAACCCACTCAAGTCTTAAAATTAAAGGTCTGGTTGTTATAATGTACCCTTGGGCTGCCTAATTGGCATACATAGGCAGGTAGCCTTGCATGCATAATCCACCAACTTGTGCAGCAACATTTAAAAGTTATAGTGGGATCTTTTTCACTTAATTGAAGAAACCACTTAGTCTTGTGCTTTGGAGCAATAATCCTACTCCATTTTGATACGATTTTGAAACTAAATTTACTTCTGAGAACTACTTAGATATCTCATTTAGTGAGGTTTTAAAGAATTATTTTAAGCTATTGTTATAGGATTCCTCTCAGCACTTTTCAAAATTTTTATTATTTTATCTGCCCTATATATTGCATCTTACATTTCTTAATGAGTTGCTGTTCGTGTAATATGCTTGGTGGAATTCATGAATTGTCAATCACCCTATTTATGCCATACAGTAATTGACTATATATATTTTTTGTAAGGTGGCTAAATGTGTGAAAATTTTTGGATTCAGATGTCATTTTTGCTTTGATTAATTGATGATGGAACAGATGTTTTCAATATGACTTTAACTGCAAAGCTATGTACATTCCCACATTGAGAGAGACTAGTCAGCGTGCTTAGCCAAGCAATAGCTCTTGTATTGGAAATCACTATTATTTTTTTATTCACCTTTTACTTTAAATAATGGCATAATCTGAGAATCTGATGGCCAACAAAATGGCTCCAAATTTTTCTTGAATGTATGATATTACTGGGTTTTGTCTTATATCTGTGCCTAAAGTTTGAAACCAGAAGGTTTTTTATTTTTTCTATGTGATTTACACACCACTGACTTCTTATGTATTTATATATCTATTACTAAAATCCTTAATATTTATTGATATAGCACTTTAGTATCTAAATTACATTAAAACACATGAATGAAAGGTTGTATTTCATTTCGTGTTAGTCAATTTTAGTGATATTTTGGATCCCATTTAGATATTAGGGTTCATATCAGTAAATATAGAAAATTTGAGCACCCAGATGAAGCTATAGCAAAATTATAGTATATAAGATACCAGAACCTGTGAATTAACTTATTTTGGTTATTACAGGGTTTGCGAAATTTCCTCGACCAGAATATGATCAAACAATGGGATGATCTATATATGTTGACAGATAACTATACAGATGGATGGCTTTCCTCTGGTAATGGGAAATTTTTATGTCTCTTTAATTTAGTTCTAGCAGTTATGAGTTATTCAGCCTCATCTTGCTCCGCATAACTGCATGTATAAATTTTAGATTATTTACCCACTTTAAAATACAATATGTTGTTCCATTACAGCTTGTGATATTCACAAAGAAAATAATAAAGTGAATATACAGCTTCATGAATTTAATGCAGGAAACTTGATTGACATGTAAACATTGTTGTTATTGTTAATTCATTGGTTACATTTTCTTTCATTTCGCTTGATATTTGGCCATTAAAATATAATTCCTTGTTTATATGGTATTGTTTGATTCTCATTTACACCTTAAGAAAATATAATCAATTTTTATGGTGGAAAATATAATCAATTTTTTATGGTGGCAGATGAATTGAACTCTTATGAACTTAGGGAAAAAAAAATCCTATGAATTGGGAAAGATTAGATGTTGTAATTGTTGATAAACATAGTAGAAAGCCTGTATCATTGATAAAAAAAATACCGAAATATGTTAGCTGTTTATGCAGAAATCTTAGGATCTGAAGTTTTTCAATTACAACTATAGTTTAGTGCTCAAATTCATGCACAAAAAATTTAATTTTATAGTTTACATACTATAGGTTTAAACAAGTATTAATCTTCTCTTGATGAAATCTAAAAAGCATGCCAATTTTGCTTAAACTATAACTAATGGTTGGCTAATCAAAATTTTGCATAGCAATTTTTAATTGAAAATCAATCATCGATCAGAAATCACATTGAAATTAAAAAAAGAAAAACAGATTTATGAGTATTGATCAAATTCACTTGTGCTTACAGTTCAACAATTAAACATATAGAATATGACAAAAATAAAATAAAAATCATTAATGTGAGCAATTTAGACCTCACATCAGTATAAATATACAAGTTCTTTTGGAAGTTGATAGTTTCTAATTTCAATATTCAAGAAAAATTTACTTATAACTAGTGCATTTACAGAGAGATCAACATAATCAAATGAATTGAAAAAGTGTCAAAATGATCCACTGATTATTTACATGGCTCTTTTTTATTCCCGAAGTGTATAAAAAAGTTATATTAATTCTCAAACTCTTTTAATGAGAATTCTCTCTTTAAAAGAGTTTGTGGACTATTTCATCCCATATTAAAATAGTTTTTAAATTATTTAGACACTTTTATAGACTCAAGACTAGAATGCCCCTTTGCAAAGAGTTACAAGATTATTTTGACAATTATTATTATTTTAGAGGCCTTATGTACCCCCTATTTATGATCAGATAAATTTATTTCAAGTAATAGTTAATACGAAAAAAAAATTGGTAGTTTGATCCAAAATGTCATCATAATCTATAAGACAATAAATTACATTAATAACCATTGTATGCATGAAAGGAGCAACAAATTATGACTTGTTACAACACTCAAAAGGAACTAAAATCAATTGTCCAATATGATAAAACCAAACGATATTGAATTGATATATAGACTAATATAGTGGAGTCAGAAAATCTTCAGAACGAGGTACAAAACAGCTTTAAAAATTTTTGAAAAACTTACGATCAAGTCACAATTTTAAATGACCTTTAAAAATAGATTTTAAATAGAAGCAGTTGAAAAAAATATATTATAGTTAAATAAATTTACAGTTAATTTTTTATAAATTTAATCATTCGAATTTGTAGCATGATCATGAATTAATAGAAAAAGAGAAGAAAAGCATCAATTTTAAATAAGTTTTAACACCTTACATGTGCTGTCCAAGGTTGGGGAGGAAGGCGGCGAAATGGGAGGAAGGCTGCGAAAAAAGAAGAAAATCATTAAACTTAAACTTTAACTTTTTTACATATTGAACTTTTAATAAAATCTTAAATGTGATTATTTTAAGGAAGATTTACATGCATACCACTCTCAATTCTTATGTATTTATATATCTAGCACCTAAACTTCAATTTTTACATATCTGTCACTTTACCCATGCATGAAAAGATGTGTTCACTTTTTAAAGGTTAAATATGTGATATTTTTGATGTGATATGCAAAATTTGAGCGATTCAAATGTAAAAAACAAAGTTAAGGCGTTCTATATGTAAATACACAGGGATTAGGTGCTATGCATGTAAATGTCTTTTTTTATACATATGCTTGAAAGAGTTTTATGACGGCTGTCAGACTTTTGCGGGTATATATAAGTGGCACAACTAAGGATAAGCGCCCTGGAGAATTGAACAATTGATGTTTCAATCAACCTCTGTTATGCAGGACGTGCTTTACTGGATCAAATTTCTGGCAGAACTAAAGCTGCTACTTCTCATCCTTCATCATCTGAAAATACATGTGATGACATTGTTATGAAATGCCAAGACATCAATGTATTGGTTACGTCCGGATCTCTAATTCCAAGTCTCGTCAAGTGCATTCTCTTTCTTTTGGATGATCACATCATTTATGACAATGGTTAGCATCCTTCACTCTTCCCGTGCAATTGTTATTCAGAATATTCAATATTTTTTTAATTACTGTTACCACACCTCTGCATGTATGTTTCTGTAATCTACAAGTTTTCATTTATGTCATGTAATTTCATTTATTTCTTTTGATGCATATATTCTTTCAAAAGCGACAAGAAAGAATCCTAAACTTATCTAATATGAAACATCTCAGTTTATAGCTCTTGGGAAGTCGGAAAACTGCAGTGTTTCTCATGGATTCGGGAGCGTTTCGGCGGCGGACCATCGGTGCGATTCTGTGTGATTGGAGATGGGATGGAAGAATGTGAAGCAGCAGAGAGGATGTGTTGGCCTTTTGTTAAGATGGATTTTCGCCCAAAAGCACCACACAGACTTCCAGGCCTCACTGTAAGAGTTATCCAACATTATATGGAGGTTATTTATGGCCCCTTCAATTCTGCTGATGATGAGAAAGAGCTATAAGCTTTCTCTTATCTGCTGCCTTTCATTTTTCTTTTTTTTTTTTTTTAAATTTTTGGGGTGTACTTGTGAGATTTCACTTGGCCGAATCTTTGATGAAAATTCACTTAATTATGGGGCTCTTTATTCAGGTGCGGTTGTGGTGGTGGTATTTCATTGATTGATTTCTTTGTATTTCAGGTTTTTTTTTGGGGGCGTTTGATATGTTGCAAAAAAAAATCAAAATTAGAATTTTGAGGGATTTGAAATACCCAAAACATATGCTTGAAATTGTTGTTCTCAACTTCTAAATAGTCTATGAAGGTGGCTAACAACATATGGCGAGGCGTGAAATTGAGTAAAAAGGGCTGCAAGCATCAAGTGTATTGCGTATGAATTGGTGCTTAGGGCTCGTTTGGCTCTGCATTTTTTGCATGACTCGACTCGAAAATACAAATTAGTTTGTTTGGTTTTCATGTCGCGGTGGCATTTTTTAATGGCTTCGGGCTCGACCCTGCAGGCTGTGTTTCCCCTCTCTCGATCACGGGCATATTTACCCCGTAGCCCCTTTCCTCTCTGTCGATCGCGGGCATATTTACCCCCCAACCCCTCTTCTCACAGTACCTCATCATCTAATAAATTGCCGCAATTCCCTTTATATATATATATATATATATATATATATATGTTT